CAATGTTTAATTAATAATTTTATTTAACCATGTGAATAAAAGTGTTGCTCATAATTTTTTAAATATTTTGTCAGGAAATACTAATTTTGTTAGTATTATTAATTAATAATACAAACGGCAAACACGAAAGTCTATTTATTATCTTTTTCTTTCCGACTAAACCCTTTAGTTTATATTATTTCAAGTTTCAACCCACACATGCCTTTTGCCCGGTGGTTTTGTGCCCGAACCATTTGGACAATGGTTAAAACCTCATTTTACGTAAAAATAATGCGATAATTATAATTTTAGTTGATAGTTGAAATTTAAAATAATATATTATTATACAATTAATTATTTTTATTTAAAAATTCATTTAAAACATTATATGTATCTATTTAATAGTATATTATATTTATTTAATATTATATTATAATAATAAATTTATAATTTTATATAATATCATTGATTTACATTCCTAACTTTTTTTTCTACCGGAGCGCCTCACCTCTTCAAGTCTAGAGACAAGGGTGTAAAAGAGTCTAGCTGTGCCCCAGAGACAAGTGCAAGAGGCTGCACTTTTCCTAGGTAGAATTTCGGGCTTTAGAACTCAACAAATTTTCTTTTTCATATTTTCTCAACAAATTTGCAGCCAAGCCCTTTGCCCATGATGCAACTACACACAACTCTTGTACTTTGCAGGCATAAAGGACAGCAAAGCTAGTTGACATATACGAGTGCTTTAAGCTTCAGCCGACAAAGGTTGTGATTTTCTTTCTGTCACCAAGAGTTCTCTGGAGATGGAATGGTTCTTAAAGTCGTTCTTTGCGGGTGACAGAACTGAAGAATCTCTTAGATTTGTTTACCTTCAACCTGATAGCAGGAACCTTGCGTGCCACGGCCTGCCATATCATTTGGACAGCATCACCTTCCTTCGAAGGGAATTGAAACTCGAAGAACCGCTCAACCTCTTGCAACTTGTGCCACATCCGAGTCCACTCATCCTTCTTAATGCTCCTAATGAGGTTTATGAGGAATTTTTTTTTTATGGCATTTGAAGTGCGAACAAATATGCAGAACTGAGAATAGTCAAGAACATCCTCATATGGAAGCTCAATCTCATCACTGATAATGACAGGAACGCAGTGGCTAGCAATGGCATCAAAGAGGCGGTTTGATGATGGGGTGTCGCCTGCAATGTTGAGGCAAAATTTGGAAGAATGCATTCCGTGAGAAGCTTTGTTTACTCCATCCTTTTTAACACTTCCAAATGAGAAATGCACATCTTTTTCACCCCTTAGCAGATAAAATAGCTCTTGTCGAACAATGCCTCCCTGAAATGAGCAAGCCAAGAGTATGAGCAAAAATTGGAGTTGATAAAAATGAAAGAAGAATGGAACAAAATTAACAAAAGAGAAGAAGGAATTATAAATACAAACATTGGATGACCTCAATTTTGCAAGATTAAGATTTCAGTTAATGTATGATAAAGAGTTAAAGCATGTACTTGGGCAAGAGGAAAGATTTGTTTTCTTTCTGGAAACAGAAACAGAAGGAATTTTTATGCCTCTGCAAAGTGAGGATGCAGAACATATTCAGTCACCAAAAGGTAAAAGCAGCAGACACAGATAAATTGGACAAGTAAAAGAAAGAAAATACTAGACTCAAGTGGGGTTAGCCCCAAAGGGCATTTATCTCATAAAATTAGGAAATTATGGTTTGAAATGCAAAGAAAACATTCAGACCGTCACATAACCAGGCCATTTTCCAAATGTTCTCTCCATTCCTTTAGATTTGAAGTAATTCACTTGGTCAATTGTTGAAGACATGCTATGTTAGGAAGCCTAGAAACCAATCATAGCAGTATCCTACATCTGGAATGATGAATGGCTCAGGTCAGATTATATTATCTGCTTCCCAACATATCAATTTAGTCTGAGATCCAATTTCCCTTAAGGGACATATACAGCAAGACTGGAAAGACACAAGTTCCTTGGGAAAATTAGGATCACTCAAATTAATTTCAAATATGTAAATAAATCAATAAATAAAGAGGAAGGACAGCCCTAGTATTCACAAATGAAATGTATAAGCCATAGCCAACTTATTTTAGCATTTTATTGCCACAAGCAATAAAATAATTCTAAAACATTTTGGTTCCTATTGGTAACATAATCTACTAAAGGACTGTGAATGAACCAAGACATACCGAATTGTTTGGACAATACTGCTTTAGAAAAGAAGAGAGCAGAAAAAGAAAAAGAAAAAGAAAAAGACATACACATGCATATATCTTAAGTGAAGCACGTCACCTAGTTGCTCCTCTAGAAAGAAATGTATTCTGTCTGCCCAAGGCAAAAAAGGTGACATCTACAAAAATATAATGACTTCTGAGGTAGTTTCTCAATTAAACCCAAGATCTTGTACTGAATGAATTTGTCAAATATTAATATCAGTGAATCTCCAGTCTACTGATTCACCGAAAAAAAATGCATCTGTAATCTACTAGAGTTATTATGTATTTTATAGTGGAATTTCTCTCAAAGTATGAATATGACAATCTTTAAAGGTTAAACTACAATACAACCAAAAACAAACAGGCATTTAAGGTCTAAAAATTGCTACACCATAGCAATACAGCTCAACATTAGATCAAAACAAGCATGAAAAAGAGTTTGGTAAAACTAACTATAAAATGGAGGAAGAGCACTTACATCTTTTCTGTTTATGGCTCCTTGGAAGTACAGCAAAGTTGGACGGCTATCAAAAGTAGATGTATCATTGACATAGCTCTTGATTACATGTTTGTAAGGTGCAATGACATCCTTCTCAACATTTGCTATATTTGGAGGATACCTTCCAAAGTCTGAAAGGATGAACAGTGATGGCCACAGCTTCACCCTAGCACTTAGCATGCTATTTGGATGATGAGCTAAAACAATATGGTCTTGCCCACCTGACCTCTTCCATTCCTTTTGAGAAGTCACAAACTTCACCAACTTGTCTTGCAAAATCTTGTCCCTGCTCCTCTTTTCATGGGGGTGGACCTTTGAAAACCGATTATAGCTCAATGAAGAAAAGAATGGCACAAATATAACATCAGCCTCACTAGAGTTGCGAACTCTTATTGCAGCATGAGAATTAGGAATGTCAGAAAATTCTGAAGCAAGAAGGTCCAATGTAAGCCAATATTCTATACTATGCTGCAAGTTCAATCCACCAGGATATTTAGGTATGTTAGTCCTAATGTCAGGCCAAACGCTTTTTCCCTCAGGTTTCCAATCCAAGAATCCAAAATGAAACTCAGGGTCTAAATCATACATGTAAACCTTAAGTGGCTCTTTCCCATTACTATTGCAATTAACATCACCACCACCCTGCTGTTGAGCACCTTCCACAATATTTTGAGGTGCTTCCTCCCCTTCTACGTCTTGGTCTCCTTCAGTATTGCCAAGAATTGCTCGATTTCCAGTCGAAGACTCAACAATACTCTCACTAAAGGATTTGGAATTTCCATCATCAATTACAGAAAAAGGTCTTGAATTTGGCAACAGATCATGGTCAATGTAGTGAGAACGATCTGTAGAACGCAACACGAAGAACCAGGATAATACAAATAGCGTTGAAGCCATTGTAAACAAGCAAAGGAACGATTTCCTGGTGGAAGAAGAGCTACACCTATCAGCCATCCTAATCCTACACAGTTTACAACTTCAAGAAACCACTCAACACCCAGAATTCAAAATCACCTCTAAACTGAATTTCAAGATTCAAATCACCCAAACAACCCATAAATCCAAACCCCAGATGCCTCCCCCTCCCCAAGCAAATATAAAACAACAGCTCAACCCAGCAAAACCCAGAGCCACCAAAAAAATTCAACAAATAAAACCAAGAAGGACGACAGGACCCAGAGATGAGAAGAGAAAATCTGAAGAGATTTTTTAAATCTTGGGTGGAAACACTTACAGGAAGAATGGGGTTGTCAAAGCTACTATAGCTGTGGGTGCTGTAATGTCGTAGCGTGGAGGAAAAACAAATCCCCAGATGGAGAATTTCATTGAAAATTTCTTAACATTGTTGGTTTCCTTGGGTTGTAACTCTCTTGGTTTCTCTCTCTTGGTTTTTCTCTCTTGGTTTTTCTCTCTTGCAGTTTTCGCTTTCTCTTTCTTCTTCTGTGCGGAAGAGCCAGAGGAAGGAAGGAGAAGGCGTTGGAATTGGAATAGGGTCACTCTGAAGAAGCGGGCTTTTCTTCCTGTGGGGTCACTCTCTTTTTTTTTTAATTTTTTTTCCTTTTTATGTTTATAAATAATTTAAATTCTTATTTTGTAAAATAGATCGTACTAAATTATAAAATTAACTGTCTACTTGAAAAAAAAAAAAAAAGAGACTTTATATCAGTAGGTCTCCTTCAATTCAAATTACTTATTTTGTGGTATGGGATAATTTAAATTATAAAATAAGTTAATATATTTTTTTAGTTTTTTAAAAATATATTACCTTCATTTTTTTTATCAAAAAAGTATTTTTTAATTTATATCATACTATATTGTAAATATTTACTATTAAATAATGAGGCTCTTATTAAAGATACAATTTTTTTATTTAATATAATCTTTATTTTTTATAAAAAAATAATAAAAATAATTTTTTCAAATATCCTATGAAGAGCAATAACTCTCATGCCCA